TAGGGTTTTTTTAACTTTTTAAATGAATTGGGGACTTCCCCAAGATTATTTATATTTCAATTCTACAATTAAAAATCCCTTATCATATTCATAAGTTAAAAATCCATTCAAAGGAGTGGTCACGGTTTGATATTTTTATTGTATAAAGATTATTATAAGAACTTAAATTCGGTTATATATAAAATGTTTTGTTGTAAAGAAATGAATTGGTGTGACCCATCATCAATCCACTCGTCGATATCTTTTATTTGCTAGTGTTTTTTTTTTTTTTGCAAAGACTTTTTTTTCTTTCTTTCTTTACTTTGCCTTCATTCATGGTCCCTTCATGAACTCCAATGCTTCGACAACACTCCACGTCTCGATCAGTGTCCTCGGCCAATAAGAACAGTGAACTCCAAAGAATTCCACGATGCGATAATCTTGATTTTGATAAAACAATATATATTTACATCAAATTATTTTATACTATAAGGGCTTCTTTAAAAGTTTTGAGCATATTAATCTATCTCTCAACACTGCATTTGTTTGTCGGTCTAAATCCAAGAAATGGTGGATGATTAATGAAATTTGAAATTTGCATTGCATCTGTGCGGTTCACCACTAAAAAATATTTGAAATTTCTTATAATATGTTACTTTACCATTCGCGTAAAAGGTTGTCCCGACAACAATGAAATCGACCAGATCCAAGGGTCAAATCCATCAAATCAGTTCAGTCGCATTGTAGTGATATGACACACATTGGTACGATCAGTTCGAATGTTTTAAAATTATTAAATTTTATTGGCAACAAAAAAAAAATCCATTTTTACGTATATAATAACGTGCTTTGATACAATTTAAACGATCAAAGTTACTGTTTTATAGGAAATCTCAAGAGTTAACTCGGATCCAAAAATGGACAATAAATTTAGGGTTACAAGAATAATGTTTTTAGGGGAAGAAAGCATGTGACAGAATCTGAATAAACCCTAGAGGATATACCAACATATTTAAACATTGGACAACAAAATGATTAGGGAGATCAAGCTTATAAAATGCGCCATTATGCATTTAATTAATCCAAGAATCTTCATGGGATCATGTGCACTGCCATAATTTAATCCTTCGCAGCTTTGATTTGTATTTGTTTTCCTTTTCTTCAATGTATAAAAATTTGGCATTTTTGGTGACAGTTCTTCAGGAGCCAACATGCATTTCCACTCTCTCTTTTTATAATAATGTTTTATAAAATGGAAAGAAAAAAGAATCTATAACTATTTTTAAATTTTGGGTATCGAATTTAGAATAACCTGTAAAGAAGAGCTGGCTATGTGGCCATGTGCATGGTGGTTTAATTCCCTAATTAAGTATTCACTACCAATGGCAAAACCGGCCAGAGAAAAAAAAACAAAATGGTATATATATATATATATATATGGTTTTATCTTATATATATATATATATATAGTTCTTATATACCTATATAGTAACGTTACGCAACAAAAAAAAGGATTCAAATATACAAATGTCATAAATCTACAACCTAATGTCTATATATGTGCATCTATATGCGTGTCATGTCGACCTTGAAAGTTTGAAACCTATAAATTACGATCCCATTTCGCCATACCATAGACGAAACGATTTTAGACATTTTTTTTATAACAAATGTATCACGAATTTTTTGCACGTATAATTATTTTAAATTCGGAATTAATGATCAAATGAAATGCTGGATATTATTATAGAACTTGCACAATTAATCTCTGAAAATAGATGCATGGATTAAACCCACGTAATTATGTAACGGAACATATGTCGAGTTTAATAACGGATTCTGAAAGCATGTATATGACAAAGTTTTAACTTAATAATAATAAAATAAATAATTTTATAAAAATAAAAAGAAACTAAAAAAAAAAGGGAAGATGGCATATATGCATGTGGCTAGCAGAGACATGAAGGATAGTGGTTCGATGTTTTGGACTTTGTTTATGTTTATGCATGCGAAAACGATCCTTCGTTGCCATTTCACATTGTAGCATACGTACTTAAAAAATATGATTTTTTGTCAACGGCCATTTAATATTTGTTTATTGGCATATATACATATATATATATATATATATGTATATGGCAACCAATTTGGACCTTTGGAGACCAACTTTCACGAGGGTTGTACTCCAGCGAACAATTTCATATAAATAGAAAATATTATATCCCCAAAAACAGTTGTAATAAAAGTTGTATTCACATACATACATATGCGTATACGTACGTACGTATCTATATCAATAGATATTTTCCATTTATGCATTGTATCATCAAGTTGATGTTATGTCGGCTTAATATTAGAAATTGAACTATTCATTGATCTGATAGAGTTAGGCCCTCAGATCTAAAATGAATTATATGAATCATGAAATTTTCTGGCAGGTTGAATTCAAGAATAAAGTTGATAAAGGAAATATTTGAATCATCCTGCAAAAAGAAATTAAAAAATATATATTTTAATTATGTCATATACATACCCGTGATCTCGTAAGCAAACGCAGACGAGGGAATATTTGGGTTATTGGGCCTGGCCCATTAATTCAAAGTTCTAAAAGTTTTAGGCTTGCACTTTTTGGTACTTGTAAGTAATTTAGTAACTTATTTAAAATTTGAGTACCTCATGAGTCGTAAAAATAATCGATGTAATGGCAAATGTATAAACCAAATATTGTTAATTTAATAACCTCTTTTGACAATTACAGTATATATTTAGATTCGAATAATCTATAACAAAGCAAATCCTAGGTGGCATTTGCCATGCAATTCAATGACATGTATGTAGAAGAAATGCCACGTAATATTTACCCTTTTTTTGTGTGTGTGGGGGGGGGGGGGGG